TTGTCCTTTTGTGACTGACTAAATTCACTCAGCATAATGCCTTCCAGATTCCTCCATGTTATGTTTCACGGCTTCATCATTGTTCTTTATCATTGTGTGGTATTCCACTGTGTGAATATACCATCATTTGTTTATCCATTTGTCCACTGATGGGCACCTAGGTTGTTTCCCTCTTTCTGCTATCGTGAACAGTGCTGCAACGAACATGGGTGTAAGTAAGCAAGAAATCTGATGTGACAACTGCCAACTCTTATTCAAACTTAGGAAAAGTGACTTGTGGCTCTTCAGCATGTTCCATGGCCCGGGCTCTGCAGTGTAGGAGAAGCCATCCGTTTAGACGTGGAGAGGGCGGGGACAGGCAGTGTGGCCTGGTGGGGTGAGGCCAGGGGAGGGGGTGGCACAAAATGCTATTCAGGCAGCAGTGGAGCAGCGGGCAAGTTGCTGGGCTCAGGAATCCTGGGAATTGTTTCCTTCTGTCCCTGAACCCCTATGCACCCCAGCTGCACCTTCACCCTTGCCCCCATCACTGAGGCGCATGATAACCAATTCCTGAAATTAGGGTTAAGGAGGCCTGGGACGGGGCCCAGTCTGCTTTTTTAACCCACATTTTGGTGGCCTGGGACTTTGAGAACCCTGGACTAGATGCCTTCTAGATCTGATGTTCCAGGGTGATACCTGCCAGGCACTCATCAACAGCACGCTGTTTTATCTGCTTTGTGCCTTCTTTTGTAAACTTCTTGAAGGTAGCAGCTGTGCCCTAAACTTCTCTAGCGTTCAGCTGTGTTAGGCAAATGGCACAGGTTCAGTAAAAACCATGTGAATACAGTTTGCTGATAGAATGGGTCAAGACGTCGGCATCTTTCAACTGATCCTGAAAAATCTACAGTATGTCCAGTACGTCCGAATGGGGGCTGGAGTCGTGATTTGGGGGCTGGAGTCGTGATTTGGGGGCACGCACTCCCCAGTGAAATGCCTTCTATCTTTGGCAGGTTCCCTGGTTTGTCATAAGCGGTTAAGAGGACATGAACGTAAAGTCCCTGCGTGCACCACTAGAATGAAAGGCGTGGCACACAGGCTGCTGGGATGACAATTTCCAATCACAAGGCTTGGTGACTGAGGGCGGCTTCAGGTGACTGTGAAAAAAGGCAGCAGAGTGGGGAACATGCATACAGCCTCAGTGATTACTGCTCCCTACAGAGCATTTTCTAATAAAGCTTGAAAGTGTTTGGGATCTGGATGTGGCCTAGAGTACTGGTGTTGAATGGTGACCTCCAAAAAGCTATGTCCACGTCTTAACTCCTGGAAGCTGTGAACGTGACATTATTTGGAAAAAGGGCCTTTGCAGATTTGATTAAGGTAAGGCTCTTGAGATGAGATCATCCTGGATTAGCTAAGTCCAAGAATCCTTATGCAGCCCTGGTGGCGTGGTGGTTAAGAGCTTGGCTGCTAAACAAAAAAGGTGGGCAGTTCGAATCCACCAGCCACTCCTTGGAAACGCTATGTGGCAGTTCTACTCTGTCCTCTAGGGCTGCTATGAGTTGGAACCAATTCGAAGGCACCTAACAACAACAACAAGTGTCCTTATAAGACAGAAGAGAACACCGAGAGAAGAGGTCATGTGAAGACGAGGCAGAGCTGGGGGTTATGCAGACCAAGCCGCAGAATGCTGGAGCCACCAGAAGCAGGAAGAGGCAAAGAAAGGACCCTTCCGGAGGCAGCACGGTCCTGCTGACAAACTGATCTGGGACTTTGTCCTTCAGAACTGTGAGAGAATAAATTTCTGGTGTTAAGTCTATGATACTTTGTCACAGAAGCCGCAGGAGACGAGTACATCTGGTCTTCACATCTATGATGGATCCTTTCTGTCCTTCATTCTTATTATCACATCTCCACTGAGGGGAAATTGACAGTGATGAGATGAGCGAGCTTGTGTGGAACTTCTAGCTGACTGGATTTAAAACTTTTCCTTCTGGTAGAAGGACAGCACATACACACCAAGGACACTTAGTACCACGTGCTATGGCAAAACGACACCATTTCCAGGTGCCATTCGGTCGGGGCTGTGGACTGATTTGCAGACTCAGGCCCTCTGCTCCCAGCACATTCTGCAGATTATTTTGTTGTTGTTATTGTTAAAAATCCCCACCACATCGACACAAGGTCTCACCACAGCATTTCCTCGTGCAAAGGTGCTAGAACGTATTTAACCGAGAGGGCTGCTTCCGGTCTTGCTATGTCAGACAAAGCTGCCTTGAACACCCTGCAGGGCGCGTGTGTGTGACGTGTCTGGGTAAGTCCTCACACTTGGGGCTGGCTCCGTCAGGGCCTCATGGGTACCTTGTTCTTGAGAGACGTCACCACCTGCCCTCTGAGGACGCTGCACCCACGGGCCTCCTCATCGCGTTCCTCATCGTCTGACATGAGGTGGGAGCGTCCTACCCGGCAGAGCCAGCATTCTCTCAGAGGACGCACAGGCCTCGCATGACTCGAGACCCCAACCGGTAATGGAGGTCTGGATTCCTCACCTCGGACCTTTCTCCAGCACCCCACCTGACCTCATGCATACAGAGCCTCCTCGGTCAGTCACGATCCCTTTAGGCCTCGATACATTCTGAGGACAGGGATGGGGGCACAGGTTGAGGATCACAGTGGCTACCTGGCCCCAGACTCCACAGTCACCTCCCTTCTTCCACTTCTGCCCCTACAGTCTGTTCTCTAGAAGGCAGCCAGAGTAAGTGGATATATAAAAGCCAGGTCATCCTCTGCTCTTAACCTCTGATGGTTTCCCAGCTCACACAGAGTCAAATCCCAAGCCCTCACCATGGCCTCAAAGCCTCCACGAACTGGCCTTCGGCTGCCCCTCCAGCCTCGAGGGCCACCACTTGGTGGCATGCACTGCACTCCTGCTGGGGCCCCTGCAGGTTCCTTGTACAATGAGGAAGAGACGAGGAAGAGAAGCGGGCCAGGTGACCAGGGGAGCACTGTAGGGGCAAGGAGCTGAAGCTGGAGGTGGCAGTGTGCCTGGACGGAGGCTTTCTGTTTCCATTCGCCCTCCACAGGCTCAGGCCCCGCATGCCCATCTTTATCCTTTCCCCGTCACTGTCTATGCCAGCCAGCTGCTGAGCAACCAGCTCCTCGCCATCACCAACGCTGCCTAATTCCAGGAGACTTTGGGATCCAGGTAACTAAGCCAGCCAACCACCAGCTTCAAAATTCCAGAGCCTCTTTTAATGCCAACGGCCTTCACCCAGGGCTGCACTCCAGAGTGGTGCTCATCCCCTGTAGGTGTTCCTGTCTTCAGAAGCCTCATGCCCCAGCATCGTACCTGCTGTCTGTCACACTGCTCTCTGACTGAGAAAGCGTGGTGAGCCACCTCTGAGCCCTTGACACTGCCATTCTGTCCTGTCAGGGGCAGTTCCCTCCTGACGCACGCCCTTCCCGAGTTAGCTGGGGTCAGAAGCCTGCACCTCCCAGAGCTGGCTGGGCATCCAAGTCACCGGTCTTTCCGTGTTCAGATTACGGCCCTGTCACAGGCCTGTCGGATGCTCTGCCTGGCCACTCCATCCATCCGGAAACCCTGCGCTCCTGTCTCTATGACATCACACTCTCCTGGCTTTCCGCAAGCCCCTCTGGTGGCTCCTCTTATCTTTCCGGGGCCCCTCGTCGTTCTCCACTCCTGACGTGCTGGCATGCCCTGTCCTCTGCCCCCACTCTCTCCCGCTCCACACTCTGATTCAGTGGGCAATCTCATCTGCTCTGGTGATTTCAGCCACCACCGATGTGCTGGTGACTTTCAAATCTTCCAGTCTGCCCTTTGATGGGCACTCAAAAATTAGAACGCTGGACGGTTCCATGACTCTTACTAAGGATGAGCATCCCTTCAGATATCAGGAAGGCCCCTGGCCTGTGCCTTTTATATTTCCCCAGTCCCTCCTCTGTGCACCATCTATCGTGACAGGCTGCCAGGGCCACCGTGCACTTCCGGGCCACTGAAGGCAAATGGTCTAACACGGACCTTCTCAACACAGGGTTTTAACAAAGATGACCAAACTCTTACGTGCTGTTGGGAATGCTAAATACACCAACGGTGCCATGTATCCTTTCTATTCTAGAACCCTCCACCCCTTGAAGTGGTACTTACTCCCAGGTACTCTGTGGTCAGGAGCTTCTCGCCTGAGAGTTCTCCAAGCTGGGGCTGGATCAGCTCGTCTTTGTCCAGATCGGCTTCCATGGTGTCATGATCTTCCTGTGTCAAAGGAGACACGGGGTGAATGCGCTGGACACCCTGCCCCAACTTCCCCAAGGTGTGTGCTGATCTGAGAAGGCCTCAGCCCAAACCACAGCAATGCGTGGGCTCACGTTTCAAAGGGCTTCAGGGAGAGTCTGCCCTCTGCTCCTAACCTCACCATGGAGAAGGGAGGGAAAGCAACGCCAACCACACCTCTCCAGGAAGCTCAGCGCCTGGCTGACACTTCTGTGGCCACAGAGCTGATACTTCCACGGCCACAGGAGTCAGGCTCTCAGGGGGTCTCCTGGTCACGGTCTCAGAATCCTCGCTCTGTGAGGTCCAGGCCCCACATGAGCAGCCAAGTCACTCAGTCTACAAATAACTATCAGGCACCTTCCTACGCACAGGGATATCTAGGACAGACGGTAAAGCCTGCGAAAACCAGAACCTGTGTCAGGCGGAAACCTGTCAGAGACGGAAAACGCAAATATTTTCCAAAAATAGAGAGCAAGAGAAAAGTGGTAAGACTGCACCCTGTCAAAGGCGAGAACTTGCAAGACTCAGAAAAATAAGGCAGCCCCGTCGCGTTCCGGTTCTCACAGGCTTCACTGTATAAAGAATCCTCAAAACTCAACAGTAACAACACAAATAATCCAATTAGCAAATGGGCAAAGACATGAAGATACATTTCACAAAGAGGATATACAGATGGCAAATAAGCACACGAAAAGATGTTTATTTAACATTATTAGACATTAAACCAGAAAGCTAAACGAGTAGTTAGGTGCTGCTGAGTCAGTTCTGACTCGATTCTGACTCATGGTGACCCCAAGTGTGCAGGGTAGAACCGCTCCATAGGCTTTTCAAGGCTGTGGCCTTTTGGAAGCAGACCGCCAGGCCTTTCTTCCCAGGTGCCTCTAGGTGGGTTTGAACCACCAATCTTTTGGTTAGCAGTCGAGCGCTTAACTGTCTGTGCCACCCAGGGAGACATCACTAGACACCAGGGAAATGCAAATTAAAACCACAGTGAGATATCACTGTGCACCTATCAGAATGGCTGAAGTAAAAAATGGTGACGACACCAAATGTTGGTGAAGATGCGGAGAAACTCGATCTCTCATACATTGCAGGTGGGAAGGTAAAATGGCACAGTCACTCTGGAAAACAGTTCAGCAGTTTCTTAAAAAATGAAACATGCAACTTACACACAACCCAGCAACTGCACTCTTGGGCATTTATCCCAGAGAAATGAAAATCTATGTTCACAGGAAAACCTGTACACAAACGTTTACAGCAGCTTTGTTCATAATAGCCCCAAATTGGAAACAACAGATGTCCTTCAACATGAATGGTTAAACACACTGGGGTTCATCCATGCCATGGAATACACTCAGTAATAAAAGGAGCCAACTACTGACACACAGAACGGGAATTCCAGAACACTTAACTATGCTCATGAGGAACCTGTACACAGATCAAGAGGCAGTTGTTCGGACAGAACAAGGGGATACTGCGTGGTTTAAAGTCAGGAAAGGTGTGAGTCAGGGTTGCATCCTTTCACCATACCTATTCACTCTGTACGCTGAGCAAATAATCCAAGAAGCTAATGAAGAAGAAAGGCGCATCAGGATTGGAGAAAGGCTCATTAACAACCTGCGATATGCAGATGACACAACCTTGCTTGCTGAAAGTGAAGAGGACTTGAAGCACTCACTGGTGAAGATCAAAGACCACAGAAAACAAAAATCGTCACAACTGGACCAATAAGCAACATCATGCTAAATGGAGAAAAGACTGATGTTGTCAAGGATTTCAGTCTACTTGGATCCATAAGCAACATCCATGGAAGCAGCAGTCAGGAAATCAAAAGACGCATTGCAATGGGCAAATCTGCTGCAAAAGACCTCTTTAAAGTGTTGAAAAGCAAAGATGTCACCTTGAAGACTAAGGTGCGCCTGACCCAAGCCATGGTGTTTTCAATCGCATCATATGTATGCGAAAGCTGGACAATGAATAAGGAAGGCAGAAGAAGAATTGACGCCTTTGAATTGTGGTGTTGGCAAAGAACAGTGAACATACCATGGACTGCCAGGAGAATGAACAAACCTGTCTTGGGAAAAGTACAACCAGAATGCTCCTTAGAAGGAAGGATGGCGAGACTACGTCTTACATACTTCAGACATGTTGTCAGGAGGGATCAGTCCCTGGAGAAGGACATCATGCTTGGTGTGATGGTTAAGATTGTGTGTCAACTTGGTGGGGCCATGATTCTCCGTGTTTTAATGTAATCACTCCCATGATTGAATATACTGTGAGTAGCCAATCAGATGAAAGGGAGTCTCTTTGGGGGTGTGGCCTGCATCTGTATATAAGCAGACGTCCTGGCTTTTTGCTCTCTCTGGATCCTGCCGCTGCTTCCTGTCGTCTCATCTCCTGTTCTTGGGACTTGAGCTGTCAGTTTATCTGCAGAACCTGGGATTCGTCGATCTGCACAGCCTCTGAGTCGGAGCCTTCCGATCTTGGGCTTGCCAGCTTCTGTGGCTATGTGACTTGGGAGAGGCCTCTACCCTGATCCACGGACTTGGGACGTTCTAGCTTCTACAATCGCGTGAGCTGTTTCCTTGATATAATCTCTCTCTCTACATATATTTATACACTTTACTGGTTTTGCTTCTCTAGAGAACCCAGCCTAAGACACTTGGTAAAGTACAGGGTCAGCGAAAAAGAGGAAGACCCTCAACAAGATGAACTGACACAGTGGCTACAACAACGGGCTCAAGCATAACAATGATTGTGAGCATGCTGCAGGACCAGGCAGTGTTTCGTTCTGTGGTGCATAGGGTTGCTGTGAGGCGGAACTGACTTGACCTAACAACAACAACAACAAAAACATCCGACACACAGCAAAGCTGGACAAATCTCCAGAGAATGTTGCTGAGTGAAAAAAGCCAGTCCTTAAAGGTTACATGCTGTATGACTCCATTTCATTACATTCTTGAAACGACAAAATTACAGAAACGGAGAACAGATTAGTGGTCCTCAAGGGTTAAGAAGGAGATGGGTGTGGTGGGCTGGGGGGTGGGAGGGAAGTGGTTGTTGTTGCTAGGTGCCGTCGAGTCAGTTCCAACTTATAATGACCCTGTGTACAACAGAACGAAACACTGCCTGGTCCTGCGCCATCCTCGCAGTCGTTGCTGTGTTTGAGCCCATTGTTGCAGCTACTGTGTCAGTCCATCTCCTTGAGGGTCTTCCTATTTTTCGATGACTCTCCACCAAGCACGATGTCCTTCTCCAGGGACTAGTCCCTCCTGATAACATGTCCAAAGTACTTGAGACAAAGTCTCACCATCCTCGCTTCCAAGGAGCACTCTGGCTGTACTTCTTCCAAGACAGACTTGTTCATTCTTCTGGCAGTCCACGGTATATTCAATATTCTTCACGAACACCATAATTCAAAGGCATCAACTCTTCTTCAGTCTTCCTTATTCATGGGGAGGGAAGTGGGCGTGGCTATAAAAGGGCACCAAGAGGGCTCCTTGTGATGATGGAATGTTCTGTATCTCGACTGTATCCATGTCAGTATCCTGGCAGTGACACTGTGCAATAGTTTTGTAAGAATGTTACCACTGGACAGCTCTGGGTAAAGTTTACACGGGGTTTTCTGTATTCTTTTTCACAATTGCCTATGAATCTACAATGATCTCAAAATTTAAAAAAATTATTAAAAAAAAGAGAAGAATTAGAAACAAAATGATAGCAAAAATAAGCCATCACAAGGCTGTGTATAATCAAATGCAAATGAACCACAAATGTGTGGTTACGGGCAGCATGTGGTACTTTCCCATACCGGGCCACGACTCTGGAAATTAGACTGTCCTCTGCAGGATATGGAGCCTTGATGGCGCAGTGGTTAAGAGCTCAGCTGCTAACCAAAAGGTCAGCAGTTTGACCTACCAGCCACTCCTTGGAAAACCCTATGGGGCAGTTCTACTCTGTACTATAGGATTGCTATGAGTTAGAATCAACTGGACAGCAACAGCTGCAGATTATATTAAGAAATCAATGCAAAACAGACCTTCACCAGATGTGTTAACTAACTGAAGAATGTGTCCCAGAAGGGAGCTAGCTAACTGGCTATACATGGGGAAGGGAGTTCCTGGGGGCCTGAGTGCTGCTCTGGTCTCGGGGTGCTCAGGCCGTTACCACGTGGTCATCTCACCTGTCCCTCCTCTGAGTCCTTGCCCACAAACTGTAATCTGACTCCTCGAAACTTGCCAACAGGAAGAGAAAGCTCCATTCTGCAAACATGAATATCCTGTCTGCATTTCACACTAAATTCCAGTCATTCTGGATGCCCTGGTCTTTTGTGAATTTGATTTACTTCAGTTGGTTTCCAAAGGATCTGAAGGCTCACCTGCCTTGGGCCCCTCGGCTGGCCTTGGGCTCTAGGATGCGGGCCTGCCACCAGGGACAGCTGCTGGGAGGGCCGTCGCAGCCCCTGCCTCTCCAGCCTCTCTTCAGTGCACAGTAAGCGCTGCCTGCCGTCACTAGACAGTGTCACCCCAGCTGTGCTGTCTTGATAAAGGGAGTTTGACTTATTCTGGGTGGTCTCCAAGGCAGATCAGCACCAGCCAACGGAGCAGCAGGCTCGAGACCTGCCTCCCAGTCAGGAAAAGGGCTGCTGAGGAGACACTACCCCTGCAGGTTTCCACTGAAGAGCATCTATTTCATGGCCCCTTGCCACAGAACAGAAACACTGGTGGCTCAGTGGTTAAGGGCTATGGCTGTTAACCAAAAGGTCAGCAGTTTGAATCAACCAGGTGCTCCTTGGGAACCCTATGGGGCAGTTCTGCTCTGTTCTATAGGGTTGCTATGGGTCGGAATCAACTCGACAACAACACGTTTGGTTTTGTTGTAGAACGGAGCCCTGGTTGCACAGTGGTTAAGCGTTTGGCTGCTAACCAAAAGGTCAGCAGTTTGAATCCACCAGCCGCTCCTTGGAAACCCTATAGGGCAGT